CTGGTGTCACAATCAGCACAGCCACCCTAGCGGCGGTGAACAGCCGTAGCACAAAGCGTAGCAAACACAGCAGCAAACCGAATCGTCGATCAACAGCACGCACAGCAGCAACCGAGCAGCAACAGCAATCCGTAGGTAAGCCAGCCAACAATAGCTTCTCTTCGTAAAGCAGAAGAACACAGCACTAAACAGCAGCACAACAAAACACTACACCAGCGATCGTGACGGCAATGCACTTTCATGCACACAATGCACCCTTCACTCCGTGAGGCTCAGTTGTTCACTCAGCATATAAATAGAAAATCGCTCAACATGAGCAACACTGCTGGAACTCAGTCACTGTCTCGGAGCTCGCAACACAACGGTAGGTACTAGAATCTGGACTAGAATACCAAAAGTGTGCCACTCACTTCCAAGCGTAAATGTTGGCGTCGTTGATGTTCTTTTCCTAGCGCTCACTATGGCACAAAAGGAAAGACAAAATGGTGGGAAAACCACTTGATGAAAAAATTTTCGAACACAAAAGAATCTAAGCGATTCAAAATGGTGTCCCACCGATAAAATTCTTTTCTCTAAAAATTTCTACAGAAAATTTCAGGGATTTTTTTTTCCGAAAAACAAGTTTTTTTTGTGGTGTCAAGAAAAATTATACTGTAAAACAAATTCAACCACTTGACAGACAGTATAAACAACAATCAATACGAAACTAACGATTTTAAATTGGCTCACCACTTTAGTAGCCTATTGGTCCCAAGCAAACGATTAACGTACCCTATTCTAGTTGAAATTCTATTACTACACTATGTTTGTTTTGATTCGCTATGAAAGTTTGACAGATAACATCAGGGGTGTGTGGATTCATGCAGAACATGCAGGGGTGAGTGAAATAGCTTGGGACTGCTTGGGACCGTTGTTCTGGTACTGAGTGAGCCAAAAATAATAATGATTTTCTTCGGGACCCAGTGGTCTTAGAGTTACCTCTATGGTATAAACGTGTTCAATTATAAGAATCTAATTTTCGCCATTAAGTACGTTTGTCTACCATTCAAGGGTGAGAACAAAATCACGGCAAAACTACTTACGATAGGCCGTCTGCACGCAATCAATATTTTTCCTTGAGTTTCTCACAAAAAAAAAAAAAACTTTTACGCACGTGAATGTGAAAAAAAAAACCCTAATTTTAAAATCCCATCCTCGTCGCCACTATTATAACCGAGTTTTCAGGCATACGACAGAGGAAATAATAAAACACTTGTTTCTATGTTCGTAGTTAAAGTACTAATTACCCATATATTCAACCTATTCATGTACAACAGTCAAAACTCTGCTACTCTCTCATTTATGGCAGTCCCTCTCTGAGGTGACTGTCCATCTTACCGAACTATCGAAAAGGCTTTGCCTGTTACACCACTACAAGAACAACTAGCGCTTCTTGACTTGACCATTGCAAGTCGATGCCGACCGAATGACGGCGGCCCAATCATGCGGGCAGCCTTTTCTTCGGTCGATGGGGAAGCATTCGTCGTCGTTTTCGTATTTGTGCGATGCGTGCTGTTTAACTCAGAAGTCGTGTCCGACGCTTATCCGTCCATTACTCGAAAGTAAATGACGAAGAAAACGATTTGGCAAGAATTTTTATTACCGCTGCTTTTCTTCTCCCTTCCATTCATTGGTGAAATCACAAACGAAGTGACAGACGACTAACTGGCGAAGAAATCCTTTTAAATAATGTGGTTCACTGTAATATAATTTTCTTGGAAGCTTGTGCCATCATCCACCAGATGGGTTAGTTTTTTTTGTTTTGATTTGAACAAAGTTGATTTTGTGTACAATGATTCTTTGACAGTGTGCAAAGAGTGCGTATCATTTTGTCATTTTTTTATGCATTTCAGTTTTGAGTAGAGTGACAGAGATAGAACCAAAACATTCTAGAACATTTGGTGAAAATGCTAGTTCAATCTATTAGTAGTGTTGCCATGTGGTACAATCCAGTAGTAGTGGTGTTGCCATGTGGTACACTGAAAAATTGCAATAGCAGGTTAGTCACCAAAGTTTTCGAGCCGCTCCGTCTGTCACTTCCCGCATAAACGCGAACCATCACATGACCTTACCGATAACGGTTATAAATTGTTTATAATCCTTGCTAAACTTCAACTGAAATGGTTATGGAACTTTACATGAACGTTTGTGTGATAAAGTTTTAACCTTATGTATTATGGTTTTTTGGAAGCGGACCTTACAAATAATGGGTTGTTAAGAACCATTACCATTGCAAATTCTTGTTTTCTCCATACATTTTCGGAAAGAGAACTATATTAGAACGTTTTTACTTATGGTTTGAGAACATTAATGGTTATGGTTATGGTAGTCAGTAAGGTCCATTAATGGTTTTGTATTATCGCTCAACTTTACGTGAAATATATCGTGAATTGGTAATCAGTAATTTACAGGCAACCAATTCGCGATATATTCCACATAAAGTTGATCGATGTTACAAAACCATTCATGGACCTTACTGGTTACCATAACCATTACCATTAATGTTCTCAAACCATAAGTTAAAAGGTTTTAGTATAGTTTTCTTTCCGAAAATGTATGGAGAAAACAAGAATTTTGAATGGTAATGGTTCTTAACAACCCATTATTTGTAAGGTACACTTCCAAAAAATTATAATACTTAAGGTTAAAACTTTATCATTAAACGTTCATGTAAAGTTCCATAACCATTTCAGTTGAAGTTTAGCAGGGATTATAAAATGTTTTAACCATTTTAGGTAAGGTCAATTTATGGTTCGTGCTTATGCGGGTTCGTTTGTGGGTGAAATGGTGGGCGGTAAACCGAACAGTGAGCTCACTCATGTGAGCATGCGCAATGTGTCGTGTGTTCGATTTGCGCTCTATCGTTCCGTCCGTGTTTGGGATATTTCGTTACGTGTCTGAATTTTGATTTTTTTTTTCAAGTGACCCCCAGTATAGAAATTAAATACGTAGTCCTACGTCAACATACCCATTTTGAAGAAAAATGGCTTAACTCATTGATGAGTCAATTTGATATAAATTAATGAGTATCTGTTACCCATTCATGAGTAATGGGGTAATAAATACTCATTGAAGAGTAACAGATACTCATCAATGAGTAAAAAAATTTACTCCTCAATGAGTTAAGACACTTTTCTTCAAAATAGGTGTTTTTATCCATTAATGAGTACTTTCGAGTTAGCGTGTAGACTATAGATGCGCGCCGAGTGCGATTGGCGTTGACGGCACCGTCGATAAATCGTCTCTTCCAGCAGTTTCTTATGGGAATTTTCGGTGGAGTGAAAGGATAGTACAAAGTCCGCCATGTTTCACGCGCAGTCTGACGTTTGCTTATGGATTTTCTCATTGGAGTAAAGAGCTACAGAGTCGCCGTCAACGCCAATTAAGCATGAGCTTCAAAAAGATCCGAATACACGAATATGATTCGTGTCATAAAAAACTAAGATCGGCTTCGACACGACTAAAGCATCAGGTAAGGGAGATAGAATGAATGATTATAATGATGCTTAGGGATATATGCAAAACGATGGATGAAGGGTTCAACAAAATGATTGCTTTCAGAGTAGTCTCACTTCGGAACTAAAGTTTCGGGTGGATCGCCCAGAATCTGGACGACCGCTCCAGATCGTTCTGGAAGGTAGCCAAGGTTCTAAAGACGCACCCCAAACCCATTCCATCACTCAAAGATGACGATTGGCTCATAATCACCCCTCAGGAGATTGATTCCTCCCCTTGTGCTATCCCTCCGGAGGATAGGATTTCAGTGGAACAAATTTGCTCAGCGATGAAATGCACCAAAAACATGAAGCCCCTGGGTTCGATGGAATATTCAACTCAAACTCAACTCAACTCAAAAAATTCCACACGTTTGATCGAAGTGTTTAAACACTTGATTTTTTAAATGCACAATCACATTTACTTTAAGTGTATTTCAACTTGGTTCAATGTGTTATACACGTTAATTTCTAGTGTTTCAAACTTTGTAATGTTGAAAATCTAACTATCTATTCAAGTGTATTGCACATTGAATCACACTACTGTTCAAAACAGATGGATTTAAAGTGTTCTGCATTTCAATGCGATGTGAATTGCTTGCTCAGAAAGGTAAACATCGAAAACAAGAGTTGTGACTTTATCCTATCAACCAGCCTCATATATGAGAACCCATTAAAAATATATCTGAAAGCTCTGGCCTCTGGCAGTTTTGTTTATATATTTTCCGATTCATTTTTAAAGTCGGTAAAGTATAATATTGTAGAATATTGAACTATGATGTTCAAAGCAAGGCATATATTTAGAATCCAAGTGTGTCACAATTCAAGGCACGATCAGAGATGTTATGCCTCAGAACATCCCGACGGCGTCGACTGGGAGTGAGAGGAAATCACGCTTACCACTACACCACCGGTGCCGCTAAACTTAAGTAATTATTGTCCTAATTTTGTTTCGACAGAAACTCTCAAAGTTAAAAAAAAAAAAACGTTGGTTAAAAATGAAGAAATAATTTGATGTTTGACGTCTATGAATAATGATGTCAACGCCACCACTGGCTTCATCAAGGCCGTTATTACGGTACACAAAATAATTATGGTTTCTTTTTACCCTATTACCAGGTTTAAGAAAAGTTTCAGTTATTACAACAATATGCACGTTATCAAGTCGTAAAAAAGTTAAAGAGCTCGTCCATTCGAGTATTCCAATAGAAAATATTCATTATTGTGTGGCAAATCCGTTATGATCACATACGGGCCATTTTGGGTTAATCGAAATGGAGAGACTACTCAATAAGAACGAAATTTAAATATTGTTTTGAGCTGGATGGATGGAACCTCACTTATAAATAAAAGAAAGTTGGAAATGTAATAGTACAATAGAACGATTTTCAACATCATGAAGGGACATCTCTAATGGCGGTAAGCTTCAACTCGGATAAACTTTTAATACCGTCCCTGTTTTAATGTTTGCTTAGAGTCGTGTTGATTAACTCTGATGTCCATATCAAAGCAGTCGGACTTTCTTGACCGGGGTGTAATCCGAGGAAAATACTGATTGGTGCTTACCACCATACGTGAGTTCTCTGTTTATTCCACTAAGATGCAACAGCAAAACATTACTTTTCACTAGGTGTCTTCGTACTTTGCCGCGCTTCCTCAAATTTGAAATCGATCGGCTTGTCATATCCCATAATTTTGATGTAATGCGTTGGATCGGGGAACAACGATGGATCTAAAAACATCGACTTGCCGGCAACCATGCATGTAGTAAACATACCGGGCACCTCCGGTACTACAACGTCCTCCAGTTTGAACTTGGTCTGCAAATGGATAAGCAATAAATAAAATTTCAAAATTCGCACTGATTCCCGGCATACCATTTGTCGCTGGAGCAAAAACGTGATAGTGGAAGCTGTGTACTCCTTCTTCACATCGTCATAATGCAGTTCTGTGACGTACCGTTTGGTAATCAGATGTAGCAGAAAAGGCGTGACAAATGTGAAGAATCCAGCAAATCCACAGATGGCAACAATCATAGGGGTTCCTCCGATTTTGCTGGCCTGTTCCAGCAGGATTGGCTGCGCGACGATGCCACCTAAGCTAGTGGCCAGAGAAAATACCTTTACCATTCGAATTTGAGGCGTCAGTATGCCGTTGTAAACTTTGAAACCATTGCCATCGGAAGGGCTACAACTGTTGGATGCTTTTGTGCATAGGCATCTGGAGACTGACACTGGCCGAAGTAAACTGTTGCCGGAAATGAACTGCGCTATACTTCTCTGCGACTCCTGCGGTAGTGTAATTAGCTGACGCTGGGAACTTTGCACCAGAATCCGCAGTGACAACATTTTCTTGAACCAATACTATTGGCCTAGGACTGATGGACGCACAAAATATGTATTTTTTTGCAATGAAACTTAAATTATCGTGATATTGTATAATCACTGATCCGGATGGTTCGGTCCGCGGCAGCTCAATCAAAACATCAAAATCCAAAATAAGAGAAAATAGTTTGACGTTTTGAATATACTGTGGTAGCACGGGGAACACTGTAACTGGTGAGTACCCATTAATGGGTGAAAAAGTACCCATTTTGTGGTAGTGTATGGAGCTGTCAAAAAATGCGTAAATGAAAATTTCAAATAATGGGTACTTTTTCACCCATTTCCGAAACCTGTTCAGGGATCAAAAATGAGTACATTTTTACCCTATATTGGGTGAAAAATATCTTTGTTGCTCGGTAACGTTGCTGGTATACTTGGTGTGCCTTGTCGAGTGCCTTTGTTCCGTTTTAGTAAAAAAGTGATAAATATGTGAAAATCTTCCTTGGAGGAGTCTACAGACTTCGAAGCAGAACTAGCGGCTCCGATAATTCGATGTATCTCGGTAATAAATCCATTACACTAGATTTTGCTTTTGTTTAAAAGACGTTCATTTTTTTTTTGCAGGATGCTGAAACACCTTTACAAGAACAATTAATGAAGTATGTTGCCTGGAATGTCGATGCTAACGTTGATGTGGCGCCCCATCTGATTTTCAACGGGAACAATTACTTCATTTACGTTGACGCTCAACTCATCCACGGTGGAATTGACTCCATCCGCGCGCTGGACACTCTATTTAAAGTGTTTACTGTTTTCAACATTCGTCCGCCAGCAGAAGTGCAGAAAATTATTGATTTCATCGAGATCATGGGCCTTATTACGGGTGTCACTACACGATGATAAGGAAGTGATACCCATAATAAGAGCCGTGATTGCCGTACAAATCAAATGGTAATCACTTCACCGTGACGACAAGTGACAAGTTTTCACCGTGAAGTGACATCCGTAATAAGCCCCCATATGTTATGGAATCACAACGACCAGCTCCCGTCAGATAGTCAATCGTTTGGTTTCATCGTTGTTTTCATAAATTATTGCAATGATGTTCAATAAAAACCAAGTTCAGTAATCTGTAGTTTCTATTTTATTGATTGATTTTAAATTATTGCTAATTCTCAAATTTCAGATTAAGTCCCATCAATATATTTAAAAAAGGGGTACTTTTTACCCAGTTACGGAAAACAATGCATTCTGGAAATGGGTAAAAAGTACCCCATGAATTGACGTATAAGCTCTTTACCCATTAGTGGGTAAAGACGTTTTACCCATTTTATGAGTTTACCTACTTTACCGCGAAATGGGCACTTTTCACCCATTAATGAGTGCTTTCCAGTTACAGTGAAACCTAATCATATTTAATTATTAAAAATACCTGGCACCCCTGCTTCCAGGCACAGCTTTATCAAATCAGATTCTCAGCTTTTGTACGCGCTATTTCTAAACTTCCCAAATTTGGGTAGAATCCCCCCAGATCGGTCATAACTGAACCAACCCATAAATAGGTAAGCTGTGTTGGAAGTGACAAGTTGATAAACGGACAACATTGACATAAATCCGATCGACTCTGTTCATTTGTCAACTTGTTACTTCCAACATAGTTTACCCATTTTTGGGTAGGTTCAGTTTTGACCGATATGGGTGGATTGTACCCAATTTTGGTAGTTTGCGAACCAGCTGGGTGGCATCCCTATCTTGTTTGCCTTGCCTTGAAAAGAGCTAACATCGCTGCGGGCCCGCGAGTCGTGGGCCCCACTGACAGCTCATAATTTGTAAACAAATAGAAGATTCATGCCAGAATTTCAAAAAAGGCGTGACTGATATTTTAGATATTCTTAATACTTTTGCTTACATTTTGTGAAAAATAAACTTAGAACTCATAAAATATTATTTTCTGATTTTCTACCACGAAGTCAACCATTTATATGGCATGAAAGAGAAAATAATTTCATTTGATAAAAATAAGACAATGCAGTCACGCCATTTTTGCAGTTCACACTTGAATTGTGACGTTTCAGATGTGGGTTTCAAAAACATGGCGGCATATCACCCAGCTGGGACGAACCAATGTAAAATACTGTGGTAGCCACAGTACGGTGCTGTCAAAACCTCAGCATCTTCAATGATCCATTCCAGCTTCACATTGTTGAGTCCGAGCCATGATTACTTCGGCAGTAGTCATGCATGATTATATCACAAACAAAGTTACCGGCGACTTTCACCGAATAAATTAAGTATAATAATGTGATTCTCTGTAATTGAATTTTAGACCACTTTCTGCCGCTCACCGCCAGGTTCGCTACACTCAAAGAATTCTAATTATTTAATTCATTAAGCTAAACTAATACCATAGAGGTAACTCTAAGACCACTGGGTCCCGAAGAAAATCATTATTATTTTTGGCTCACTCAGTACCAGAACAACGGTCCCAAGCAGTCCCAAGCTATTTCACTCACCCCTGCATGTTCTGCATGAATCCACACACCCCTGATGTTATCTGTCAAACTTTCATAGCGAATCAAAACAAACATAGTGTAGTAATAGAATTTCAACTAGAATAGGGTACGTTAATCGTTTGCTTGGGACCAATAGGCTACTAAAGTGGTGAGCCAATTTAAAATCGTTAGTTTCGTATTGATTGTTGCTAATACTGTTTATATCTAAATAACAAATACTTTTTATAAGAAAACTCATCTTTTTTATAAACTTTGAACATATCATGCATACACCTTCCACATATCTTGTATCTGTTTTCCTAATCAAAAGTATAAGGCAAGCCTTATGGCTAAAAGTTATAAGATTTGCTTTATACTTTTGATGTGATTAGGCATTGATATTGTATCCAATATGGCGCTCGAAAGTATTTCGTGTAGAATGAGCTGTAATTGCCAGAGGAACCCGCATAAACGCGAACCATCACATGACCTTACCGATAATGGTTATAAATTGTTTATAATCCATGCTAAACTTCAACTGAAATGGTTATGGAACTTTACATGAACGTTTAATGATAAAGTTTTAACCTTAAGTATTATAGTTTTTTGGAAGCGGACCTTACAAATAATGGGTTGTTAAGAACCATTACCATTCCAAATTCTTGTTTTCTCCATACATTTTCGGAAAGAGAACTATATTAGAACGTTTTTACTTATGGTTTGAGAACATTAATGGTTATGGTTATGGTAGTCAGTAAGGTCCATTAATGGTTTTGTATTATCACTCAACTTTACGTGAAATATATCGTGAATTGGTAATCAGTAATTTACAGGCAACCAATTCGCGATATATTCCACATAAAGTTGATCGATGTTACAAAACCATTCATGGACCTTACTGGTTACCATAACCATTACCATTAATGTTCTCAAACCATAAGTTAAAAGGTTTTAGTATAGTTTTCTTTCCGAAAATGTATGGAGAAAACAAGAATTTTGAATGGTAATGGTTCTTAACAACCCATTATTTGTAAGGTCCACTTCCAAAAAACTATAATACTTAAGGTTAAAACTTTATCATTAAACGTTCATGTAAAGTTCCATAACCATTTCAGTTGAAGTTTAGCAGGGATTATAAACAATTTATAACCATTATCGGTAAGGTCAATTTATGGTTCGCGCTTATGCGGGAAGTCCTGCAAATATTGGTAAATAGGTAAGTTGGCTCAAATCAATATCTAAAAATAAACTGCGCAAGAATAAAACTTTGATTATTGATGTGCTATGACCCGATATGACCCCCTCTTCTCGTTTTTAATCGATGTGCATTTTATTCTAAACATACATTTTCATCGAAAACGGGCATTGCCTTGGTACCCCAAGATGGTAGTATAATAGAACCTTGAATAGAACATATTTTAATATAACGCAATAAAACCGTAAATAAAAACATGAATGCTATGTATGAGAGTTATAAAATTGTTATTCTCTTCAATATAATATTCATGTATCAATTCAATGACATCTATTTGACGCCTGATAAAGAGTATGTTCGATTGCACTTGAAATGTAGAAGTCTATGTTATAAAATTGATTTGACAAGGTTTATACATGTCATATGAATTGCGCTTGAGCTTCATGTGAAGATTGCAATGGCAAAAATCTATGTGGTTTGCTTAATACATTCGATATGGATTTTTCTTTTCGTGTAGTATTTTTGATTTGAATTAATTCAAGTTGGTTTTGTGTGCAATGATCTGGCAACTCGCGTTCTCACTCGCGTTGACGGGGTGCTCTTTTCTCACTCATCGAAGGAAATTTTGATTAGAGTGAGAAAGTAAGGAACAGTCAGCGCGGGAACCGTGTGCGGTACTATAGGTGCGGCAGAAAGAATGTACACAGAAACAAAATCCATTGGCAAAAATACTATATTGATGGTATAAATTAAATACTCCCACCAATAGATTTGTGCAGAAACGAAATTCATTTAATTTTACTATTGTTTCTATCAAAACTACTATGCCGTTTGAGTAAGCATAGTAGTTTTGACAGAATGGCAGTAAATTTGATGATATTTTTAGTCAACTATACTGAAATCATGGTAGATTTAACGAGGGGGGCGACACATCTAAATCTCAATTTTAGATGCTCAAAAAATCTCACACTAGCGAATCAATCTTCGAAAAATCTTCTTGCATTTCTCGCATCTACTTGCATCGCGCATCATCTTTTTGCAGGAAACCTTCAGAATCGTCATCAATCTTCTTTCTATCTACTCAGCGTGCGAGCAGCTAGCCACAGCACAACACAATCTTTCCTGCAGCGTAGATAGAGTCGCCCCCCTCGAGATTTAACGGCATTAAGCGTAGTTATACTGAAAATAAGTGTTTTCTGCAAAATAGTATTCCTAACTATGGTCTTTGTTTCAGTGTAGTCGACTCCTTCGTTCTCACAGTGTTCTTACACATGATCCAACGTTATGTCACACTAGATTATGCATAAGAACGTCGTGATAATGAAAGAGCAAAGTTTGTATGTTTGGGATAGAAACTAATGGGCTAGCTTTAGACTCTAACGACCGATCGGTATCGACACGTAAACGGTAGCTTCGAGGCCGGGTCCAAAATTGAAATAAATTTGACAACGTCTTTCACCTGCGGA